TTTCCAATTCTTCCAAGATCTGAAAATGTCACGAGGGCATTGATTGCTATTTTGGCGGGGTCCCATTTTAGACTCAAACTTTTAGGGCCAATTGCAGCCTCTATTCAAAGCTGTTGGCTTTTTTTTTCTGGACCCCCGCATATTTACTGCCGCATGAAGGAGAAAAAAAAAAACCACAAAAATCTACTCTATTGGGTGATTGCGCCGCAGAAGCGAGTATAAACAAACACCTTTTTGTTTTGTTATTATCGTTATCTGAGCAGAAACGTTCGAGCACACCAAGAATACGGACTTTTATCCCAGATCTCTCTCACAACTGACATCATGGAACCTTCAACAGGCACACAATCGCTCCCTCCTCCCGCCCTGCCACAACTCGTCGCCGAGCAACAACTACCCATTGCCTCGAGCGACAAGGACTCCCAGAGACTTATTGTTGTGCTCTCCAATGCCAGCCTCGAGACGTACAAGGCCTCGCACGGTGGCGGTGGCCGCATGGGAATGCAGCGTGACGACAAGTACTCCCTACTTAACAGCGACGAGCACATTGGTGTCATGAGGAAAATGAACCGTGACATTAGTGATGCCCGCCCGGATATCACGCATCAGGTGCGACAACGACTCCTCTCCTCCTCCTCTTCCCGCAAGTGTCGAGCATTCAACATGCTGACCAAGCTAACCTAGTGCCTGCTTACGCTGCTCGACTCACCTATCAACAAGGCCGGCCAGCTGCAGATCTACATTCACACAGCCAAGGGCGTTTTGATCGAGGTTTCGCCCACCGTCCGTATTCCCCGAACCTTTAAGCGTTTTGCCGGTCTCATGGTGCAACTGCTGCATCGTTTGTCGATCCGCTCCACCACTTCGCAAGAGAAGCTCCTTAGGGTGATTCAGAACCCCATTACCGACCACCTGCCGCCCAACTGCCGCAAGGTGACGCTCAGTTTCGATGCTCCGCTGGTGCGTGTGAGGGACTGGGTTGAAAGCGTCGGGCCCAAGGAAAGCGTTTGCGTCTTCGTCGGTGCCATGGCCAAGGGAACCGATAACTTTGCCGATGAATTTGTCGACGAGAAGATTTCCATCAGCAACTACAGTCTCTCGGCCAGTGTGGCGTGTAGCAAGTTCTGCCACGCTGCCGAAGATGCCTGGAACATTCTGTGATCTCTACAATGAGATCACATGTTGGGGAGGACGACGGCTCGCTGTGGCATTTGGATCCCAAAGCCACAGGCCTGCGCGGAAGTGCATCAGGATGGACTTGGATGGGTGCGAACGTGTCAGGTATGATCTAAAGTGGAGTTGTCTTGCTCGAGGCCGTCATACAACATGTCGGTTGACGGAAGTTCAACTCCTGAGCTTGGGTCTTCGGTTCTTGTTCAGTCTCTGTTTTTACAACCAAAACATCAGGCGTTCAACATGGGATCCAAGACGTTTTCATCGTCTTTGTGTGCCACTTCAACTTGGCACACTCTTTCCTCTTTTTTTGCTTTACTTCCTCTTACTACAACATGTCTTGCTACTACTAACAACTCTACATCGGGCCCATGAGAGAGCAGTCCCGCCCTCCATGACCATGAGTGTATTTGCCCTCTCAGAGTCATGACACGCCGGCCGATTGACTCGAGAACAACGGACCTCTCGTCAATACGAGATAAGTATGGCCTCGAGCGCAGATGCGCTGTGGGATTTAGGCGTATGGATGACGTCGTGGTACACGTCCAGCTCGCTCCGGCAAATATCAAATGGGCCAAGTATAGCTCGGGTAGCTGCCGAGCAGCAGAGAATGATCATTGTGTCGGCGGAAAAGAGAACAATTCCGTTACTACTTATCATGTCTCCCCGCTGGATCTGCCGAGCGACAACCACGTATGGTTTGGATTATAGCACATTGGGCTCTCTGTGCGCAGCCAACGGTGGAATGATATGGCTTGGATACAGTTTTGCCCGGCACAAATGATGCCAGCCTTACAAATAGTACTGAATGTATTCAGAAATCCCTGCTGCCGTGTAAGATGTCTCGCAACACGAGGACTGCCGGCAGCAACCAGTCAGCAATGAAAAAAAAAAAAAAAATCTAAACCGTCAGCTAGCTAGCCGGCCAGCCAGCCAGCCAGCCGGTCGAATTGGATATCTGTGATGCATTGTGTACAGTGAAAGATGACATGTATTGGTGCCACAAAACTTGAATTCCTTGAGGAGGTTGGTTGGTCGGTCAGTCGGTCTGTCGATTGGTTGGTCGCTCTATGTGTAATGTAGAGAGTCCACTTCTGGGGCGCTGGTTCCTCCCAACTTGGCTCCCTCTGCATATGGTACTGCGCACGTTGTTGAACGCCCAACTAAGGTCGTGTATCGTCTGACGACATATGATCGCGCTTGGTCTGCACAGGGGAACTGCGGCCGGCATACACTCGGGCACGAAATTGTCTGGGTCTTTTTTAGAACATCTAGAACCTCGGGTATGTAAGTAGGTAGTACTGCTATATATTGTATGTCGGGTATCCATCTATCCACTGGTTGGTAGGTAGAAAGGTATGTGTTTGTGCGATGAGCCCTTGAAGCCCACTCAGAGGCAGCAGACAGACAGAGAGAGCGACAGACAGACACAGAGAGGGAGAGAGCAGGCTCATGATCCGAGATCAAAGCAAAAAGAGCAGATGAAAACAGAATCAGAACGAAGAACGGCCAATAGTATCCGAACTGGTGCCCGATCACTGATCACGGCGTCTCCACCACCTGCGGATCCTGCAGAATCGACATTGCAGTAGGAGTAGGTAGCAGGTAGGTACCTACCCTACCTATTTAACTAGCACATTGAGGGTGGTGTATATCTTGTACTACTTACTACTGCTCCTGCTACTACTGTAAGGTCTATGTAATGTGCAGACGCGTAGTCAGTCACCTGCAAGCGAAGATGAATCGAGAAAAGACTTTAGAATAAGATTCTCAACGTGGCAGGCCTTCTGTCGCGAGAGACGACAAGGGGACCAACCACTTACAGTACTAGGTAGGTTCTGGGCGAGGGGATATGTAAGAAGTAGGGTGCCGATCTGCTTACCTGTCTGCCCTTTCATTACCTCAATGGGTTCTATATTCTTTGCCGTGGGCCTACAGTACACGAAGCCAAGAAACCGTTAGGCCGTGTAAAGACAACATACATACCCCCCAGGGCTGCTATATACTCTGTACATTACCTTGCTTACCTACCTACTATGTATGTAGTATCTAGTACACTAAATAACGGTATTACCCGGAAAATCCCCCCCTCCAAGCTTCTTTGCCTCGATTCTCAGGTGCGCTCCCCTCCTCTCACTCCTCAATACATACCTAGTATACCCTCCTCATAGAGACGGCGCGAATTAAGCGCGCTATTCACATAGTGTGCGTAAGGATCCTCTAGCAGCCGCCAGTGACAAGTTGACAAGCAACCTTGTCCATGCCCTCCCTCTATTTTTCCAGCCTCCTTGGCCTAGACCGACCTGCAGGCGTGATGAGACTGCTAATCGTGGGTATGTGAGGGTCCCCACCCCTCGTCTCCCCTCAACCCGGAAACTCGCGTGAGTAAATTCTCCTTCGGTCGAGACGGCAGAGTAGAGTCGAGATTGTGTGTGTCCGTGAGAGAGAGAGAGAGAGAGAGGAAGAAAGAAAGAGAGATGATCGCTGCTCGGCGCGGACCCTGGGGTCCCCCCCAATTGGCCCCGTACAGTGCTTCGATCCAAGCAAGCAAGATGAGAGATGGCTTGTAGGTAGCGGGTATCCATCCCGTACGATACTACATCAGCTGGCTCCTCCAAGCTCCTTCAACGACGAAACAGCGTTTGCGAATCTTCTGCATTACGCATTAGTACCTGAATCGCGCCGTATGCAGGCAGGTGAAATAAATGGGTTAATGGGGATACCGTATGGGGCGTAGCGGTGTCGCTTCACTCTCCATCCCCCTGCTTTTTGTTCCCTTATTCGTTTCGTTTGTGGCGGTCTACTATAGTGTCAATCAGGTATGATTCCGTTTCCCGTTCCTTGCTGACCTAGGCACCATGTACCGCGCCTACATACGTATATTGGGATGATACTTTTTTATTTTCCACTAGGTAGGGGGACAAGTCGGAACCCCAAACTACTCTTCTTCCCCCCCCCCCCCCCCCCCCCCAAACGACCAAAGGATCCTGTTGTGATTGCATTGCGTTGGGCGTTGAACCAACACGTACACGTTTACGTTGGACATACAGATAGCACATACTCACTTGTCTTCTTCCTCCTTTCTCCCCCATTCTCCCTTGCATCTGGCAATTGCCGTTGTTATCGCGCGTTGTCGTCGTCGACTGCTGCTTCTTCTTCTTCTTCCCAAATTTGTTATACTCTAGGCGCAGCGGTCCCTTGTTATTACCCCGCGCTGTTGTTGTTCTACTAGTAGTACTCTTTTCTTCTCCGATAAACGAGTATCCATCTGTACCCAACAACCACCGCCTCTTGTGACTACCCGTATTCATATCATCATCAGCCGTTTGTAAGGCTTTATACTTGCTGTCCCATTTACACCATTTGCCAGCTCAGCCAGGTACTGCGTACCCCGGCTTGCCCAATCATTATATATATATACAAGTCCACACTTACCTTTCCTTTTCCTCCTCTTCCCGTTTGGTCTCGGGGATATTTCTCTTCTCTATGCTACCTTACGTCGAGGTCGCTAGCCTTCCTCCTTCTGCCTCCTTCTACTCAGCCGTCACTCATCCCCTGGGCCTCAAGTATATAAGTGCCAGTCCCGGTGCCATTGTATTTGGCGCTCCATCCCCAACCGACCCAAGCACAGCCAACCCAGTCTTTGAAGTGAGAAGTGTCGCCGATCGCACGGCAGCACCCAGGTACCAGAGACTAGTCCTCTCGGCCGCTTCGCCGTCCGTGGTACAAAACTTCCGTGCAGCGGCCCTACGTGCGGCTCCCGAGCTACTGTTGATCGGCGGTGCCGAAGACGGTTCCCAACGCCACCCTGATGCCGATCCAAGTTCTGCTTTTACTACTAGTGGCGATTCTCGAGCGCAAATCCGCGACCTCGACGACAATATAATGGAGGTTGTCTTTTCTCCCGACCATGCCGGTTCGACTGTTCGTCGTACAACTACAGAAGAATCCAGCCATATTTTGAGCTGGAATCCCGACGTTGCTCTCGCGAGTTCTTCAAGATCTATTGCTCCTGGAGCCGCTGGAGGGGCCGTAGAACCACCTTACGTCCTCCGAAGAAGCGTCACTACTTCGGTTATTGAGTCCACGCCGTCGGTCGCTTCATCTTCGTCGCCGTCGTCGCCGCCCGCCGCCGCCGACAAGAAGTCATCCAGCGGTCTCATTGGCACTGTTCTTGGCGCTGTTGCCGCAGGAGCTGCCATTGGTGGCGCTGTGACTTACATGAATATGAAGGGCCAGCGAGAAAAGGCGCCACGCCAGGAGTTTGACGCTCCGCCCTTTCACCGCCGCTCCACTTACCCGGAGCCCGCCCCGGACCACATGCACGTGCAGCCCCGTTACGTAGAGCGGACCGTCGAAAAGGTCTACTATGCGGACCAGCTGCCGCCCGGCAAAAGCCGCCACTACCCCCCGCCTACCTACATGGCCAGGTACTCGCAAGTTGGCGATCGCGGCCGGGAGGTTGAGGAGCTCGACGATCGCTCCAGTCGCTATACGGCGCAGCAGAGCACGACGGGCCGGTCCCGCACCAAGAGTGAAGCGGGTTCCATGCGCCAGCCTTTGATGATCGCCGACGCCGAGTACAGGAGCAATGCCGGCTCCAGATACACCACCGCCACGGCCCCCAAGATGCTCATGGACCACAGCTACGCCTCGTCCCGCCACTCGTCGAATATGTTGCCCGAGGCGGACCTGTGGAGCCGCACGTCCTCGAGACAATCCACGCCTCGCTCTATCCGGCAGCCCGAGGTGGAGACGTACGTGTCGGCCCGGACACAGTCGCACGCTCCGACCTACGTCTCGTCTCGGAGTAAGTCCTACACACCCGACGCCGAAACCTATGTTTCGTCCCGGAGCAAGAGGTCGGAAAGATCCGAGAGCACCATTCGACCTACAGCGACAAGACATTCCACCTACGACGGTTCCATTGTGTACGGCGACATGCCCATCCGGTCCGCCGCGCCGTCGAGGGCGCCCAGCCAGGCACACTCGGCGGCGACGCAGAGCCGGCATTCGACCGCTGCCCGCTCCTCCGCGACGGCGTCCAAGATGATGATGACCCCGGCCGCGTCCGCCGCCGGTGCCAGCCGGGCTACGGCTAGGCAGGTTCCGTTGCCCGAGAGTCGTGTGAGCTATACCTCGGCGCGAGCGGTGCCCTTGCCACGCAGCCATGCCAATTATGACGACAACAACGATGATGATAACGACAGCATAGCTCCCAGTGACAGCATTAGCTGCATTGGTATCAACCCCAGGAGCCAACGGGCATAAGCATATCATGTACGATATTTGTATCTAAGGAGCACCTGCAAACACCAATCTCTAGGCATTTTCACCACGACTCATCTGGATGATGGGGATACACGTCACATCAGCAATGCACATAAAGAGCAATAGACGAATATTTCGGCATGGCATACATGTATGTATACGTAGAAGCCGCCATAGTATGCATCTTTCCTGCCCTTTCATGGACAAGAACTGCATTCACACGAGGTTATGAATAGTTATATGCAATGAATTTATAATGGGTTTAGCATTTGTCACCGTAAACTTGCGTACTCATCGGCAGGTGATCCACCAAGATTACAAAGTATTGGGTGTATTTGGGGCAATATTCCTAATATGCACCTAATCGTTGAAGAAGGGGAGTTACGCAGCTAGGGCCATCCTAATTGTTCGACGATACAAAAATATCCAGTAATTGGCCGCAGTCACGATCAAATGGCGGGAAAACGATTGAATCAAGTACAAAACACGACTTCTTGTATCTTCTGGTACTAAAATTCGAATTGCTTTACATGTCTCCTCAACCTCTCGCGGACTAACGTGTTAATCGATACTCTCCAATGGTAAACACAAAACGAAAACAAAGGAAAAGGGATATCAAGAAAAAAAGACAAGTAGTTTTAGAACCGCCCCTCCTTCCATTTATAGCGACCGATAAGAAGAAAGAAAATAAATCCAATCGCAAAACAACGTAGACGGTACAAGGAAAATCAAGAATCAGTCTCGTTCTTTTTTTCTTCTTTTTTTCTCTCCCCCTTTTCCGCTCCAATACAAGCATTAATCATCACAACTGTTGCTTTTGGGTATCTTAAGGCATCATGTACCAAAAACAATCAAATGACGTTGGGGGTTTGAGCTGGCGTAGACCGTGGATATTCTCCAGGCACATGCGGAGTGCTGTCCATTCGACGGCCACCAGCCACAGGACGAGGTGCCCCATAAGTTGATGGGTAGGTATCGCTGCTGACGGCGGAGAAATCGCTGTCCGCTACGCTGGGCACATGGCCCAATCCTCCGTTGGTGTTGCCATAATCATACGCAGCCACGGCAGGCGGGAATGCGGGCTGACTGTCTGGCTGTTTGAATGACGAGTTGTTTCTAAAGTGAAGGGCAACGTTTGTTTCATGGTCCTGGCCCGCGACCATGGGGGCTTCGGAAAATCGATGTGAGTTCATGTTGTTATAGTGTTGAGCAATAGCCGGTTCTCCACTGTAAGGGTTGATGCCATCTTGGGCTGCCTGATCATGGAGCATAGCAGCGTGGCTCGGCGCCGTTGCCATGTTGTTTACACTTGGCGTCTTGCCGTAATTCTGACCGACCATAAGCTGCGATCTCCGGTTGCCGGGATAGCCCTCTCCTATGCCACTGCCCGGGAGAGCCCCGGCGGCTGCTATTGCGTCGTAGTCGCTTACTGTGTTACCATTTGTAATCCCTCCCCTCATGGCGTACTCACTGTGTTCAAGGAAACCAGAGCTTTGGCTGCTGGGAGATAGAGGCACCTGCAGGCCTCGTTGCGCATTGACCTGCAGGTCAGATGGGAATCTTCCTCCCGGCGCCGGACGGTTCATAGAGTCTGGGCGTGATCCCGGGCTGGCAACGACGGCTGCGGCGTTTTCTTCCGAAACAAAAGGTTCTTCATCCTCATCGTCGACCATACCGTCACTCGAGACAGAACGTTGCGACGAACGCGACAAGGAGCGCACATGGCTCCGAACAAAATTGCTGCGCTCCTCGGGCGTCTTCTCCGTCAAAGCCTTGACGTCCTCGTACCAGGCCATCATGGTATCGTGACTCTCAGCACGGAAGACCCAGGTATGCCCACGATGCATGGACCCAGTCTGGCGTCCCTTGAGGATGAACTTGTTGGAAGAGCCCCCTTCAGTCGAGTGCGATCCCACTTTTTGCTCTGGAAGGTAAAGTGACATGACCGGAGGCCCGCTCTTGTCGGCGCTCTTGAATTCGTGCAAATGAGTTGGTGAAAGAACATACCTGGATAAAAAAAACACAGTCAGCTTCACGATGAATAAAAGAACAAGAAGATGTACGTACCACCCAGCTGTATAGCTCTTCAAGTACTTGCTCTTGCGCTCCAACAGACCAGCTCGAATCTCCTGGCACGCAAAATGATCGCGGCCGGGGTAGTGGATATGCTCGGCCATGCGGACGGGTATCTCGGGATCGACAAATTGCTGGTCCCTTTGGACAAATGAGGTCCATTCATGGTCTTTGGGCATGGCAATCGGTCCAGCGCGCAGCTCGTCAATGGCGTTGTAGGCGGCATCGGATTCTCGCTTCAAAATGCCGGCGTACGCATTGTAAGACTTTTGAATCTCCCCCACCACAATGGACTCAAGCTCGCGCCCAGAGGACTCGAGGTTGAGATAGGCTTGATGCAGGTAGTTTTCCTCATCAATCTGGCGCTCGACCTGGCGATCGACAGCTAATCTGAGCAGGTAAGGATCCTGCTTGCCGGTAGTCAAAGAGGAGTCCAGCTCTGTCTGACCCAGGACGTCCTGGAGAGCATTCACAGCTCTCCTCGTGTTGTCCATCTCCTTGTCAACCGAGTTCTTGAAATCCCCGGAGAGACCTTTGATCTCCTTCATCTTTTGGCCAAGGTCGCTCCTCAGACCTGTCAGGGCAAGAATGACATCCTCCTCGATTTCGCGCGCCTTATTAGATTCCAGGATTGCCGTCTTATTATAGTCCCTCAAGACTTGCAGCGCATCGTCGATACCGCCCGAGGCTAGGAAGCCGGGAGGGGTGGTGGTGTTATTCAAGACATTGGCGAGCTTGAGCAGGGACTTGCCCCGGTGCTCGTAAAAGTTTTGAATTTCGCGAAAGTAGGTGATGAGGTCCTTGAGGATCTTGCGCCATGTCTGAAACCTTGCAGACAAGGCCTCGGTGGGATTGCCCGAGGTGGGTACGGGGCAGTAGAAGGCGCTCATGGTCTCTTCGGGATCGTGCGAGCTCTGCAGGGCCAAGCTGCGGACGCTACCGGCCTTCATGCTACGACGACTGCCGCTGCGCTTTAGGCTGCCAGTCCTGCTGCCACTCCGACGCATGGAGCTCTTCTTCTTCAGGGTGTTGCCCCGGGAGAGGGAGACAGCACCGGTAGTCTGGCCATCGCCGACGGTGCTGAGGACCTCGGGGCGCGAGGATATGGACGCCGATCGCTGCATGGTCGGCGGAGGATATCGGTGGGTGGGGCCGTCGATGATGGAGCTGCCTCTCACACTGGCATCCCACTCCTCGGTGAACTTTGGCTGACGGTTTTGGTTGTATGGACTGCCGAGAGCAGGTGGGGAAGCGAGCTGGGCGTTGGCCAAGGTGTTTGAGAGAGTTTCCTGGTCTGTTGTGTGCTGTTGATGTACCGGATAGTGTTGCTGTTGTTGTTGCTGCTGAATGTGTGTGGAGGGTTCGGTGGGTTGTTGTTGTTGTTGTTGTTGGTAGGATGGAAAGTAGCTGTCTGTGGAGGTCGGGTTTCTGGAAAGGTTGTTGGTGTTGTTTTGGACAGAGGAGATCGCCGGTTGTATATGATTATGCTGAGCTGCAGCAGACGGGTGATGCGGCAGCGGAGATCTGGCAGCCATTATGACTGAAGTGCGTGACTGAGTGATCGACAGGCTGAACTACTAATAAATGTATGGGACTGGTATTGGGACTGCCGGGCAGCAAGTGCCTGTTGAAAATGCTAGGTGATGCGCCAGCCGCTGTGTTGACGCAATCGTCAGGATTTAGTGAGAGCCGAGCTGCGACGTGCTTGGCCGAGTGCGTCCTAGCCTGTACAGAGAGTACCGGGAGTACCTATGTAGTTGGTCCTAGTGTAATAAGGTAAGTAAGTGTTGATTAAATACATAGAAATAATAAGAGAGGCGTATGTAGAAAAGGTTAGGTTAGATTGGGACGGGCGGCAGATTGAACGCTGATTAGTCTTGGCTGCACGATAGGTACCTAACTTACACCCGAAATAAAGCTGACGAAATGGTCCCCTCTCTCTACTGGCGCCGGACTGTTATAATCTAGCGCTCAGATATTCAGATTAGCCCTTCTGCTCGGGGCGCTGGTCTTTTCTTGTCCTTGGAACCGGAGATGCGGCACTGATGGGTGACGGGACTTGGGAGGGCCCAAACAGGTGGTTTGCGAGAAAAAAAAAAAAAAAAAAGGGTGTGACGTTGTTTGCGGAAAGGGCTGGCCGATTTGGGGAAGGGGGTTTTATTGCTGGTCGATTGTACGAAATATTTCTCGCGCAGGTTTTGGGCAATACGCCGATGACGAAGTCACAGGCAGATAGAGCTTCAAGTTCGCATCAGAGATGCATAAGGAAGAAGAGAAAGAAGAACAGGATCACACAAGCCTTGGCTTGTTGGAAAAACTGCGATGTTGAACGCAATGGTCAGGTCTCAAGTATCGGGGAAGGATCGACGGCAAGTGAAGCCAGCTAATAGGTGAGTAACAGTAGTTAGTGTACGTCGATCGGCGCATTTTTTTTTTCCTTCTCAACCTCTCTCTCTCTCTCTCTCTCTCTCTCTCTCTCGTCGTCGTCGTCGT